CAGTGGCTTTTTTCAGAGCTTAATTTGCACCGATAAAGCTACCGACAACAGACTGAAGAAACTTCTTTATCACCAATACTGAAAGTTGTATTAACGGTTATAGAAAAATTTGTTGAAATTATTTGGAAAATAATCATTTTTTTTTTTACAAAACATAAATCTATAGAGAAACACATTTGTTTCCGGAAAGCTCAGTGGGAAAAGTTGATTTTCGAGAAGCCAATAAATTGACGAAGAGCACTACACTACAATTTGATGTTACTTTTTTCCCCTTCGCACTGTAAGAACTATTATCTTCCGCTGTTACACTTTTCACTGTTTTTTGTTTATTCTATAAAGGCATCCAACTACTAACATTTCTGCAATGTATATAACTTTCGTAAGTGTAATGAAAGAAAAAAGAAAACTGCATTATTGTTCATTAAGCTTCAACTGATTATTCTTTTTAAAAACCTGATAAAAAATTCAGGCCATATTTTGCACAAAACCATTTTTCTCATAGTTCTGTTTAAATGACTCCTGATTAGACCTGTAACTTTCTTCTAATGTATTGTTATTCAACTATATATTGCAAGAAGCATTTGAAAGAAAAAGTTAAAAACTATTCTGCACCTTTTTTTTTCTGCATGCCAATTTTCGGAACGCCGGTTTTACACACTGCAGATGTTTTGCAGCTTCAAAAGATTTGTGTAATTTGTAGGAAGGCGCAAAATGATCCTGAAAGAACAGAACCCTCATGCAAAGAGCTTATCGTAGGGTGTAAGCCGTCTTATGCCAACTGAACCAAACACATGGCATCTTTCTTTTTTTTTTTTCTCACTTACACTAGCTAAAAAATCAACGAAAATATTCTCGTATCAATAAATCACAGTAAAGCGTGGTTGATTGGGAAAAAGCAATCCGGTGTGTACCCAAATCAATACTGTGATGTGATTGTACTCCATCCATAGAAGCTAAAAAAAATTTCCTTTTATTTCAAAAAAAAAAAAAAGAAAAATAAATTCAGCAGCACGCCAACTTACTATTCCATTTATTTGAAGCAAATTTCTACTGCTTAGATAACAGTTTTTTCTTCGTCAAATGCTTTTTTTTTTTTTTCTTGAAATTTCTCTCTGCAGTTGCAACTTCCAAAACAATTCGCTCTTTTTTCCATAAAAAAAAGAAAAAAAACGTTTCAGCAAGCAGCATAATATTTGGTTGTTTGAAGAACACCGATATAGTAACAGAGAGGGCGGCCGGCAGCAGTAGTAGTGGAAGGTTGTCAGGCATACTTTGGCTGTGGCTGTATACTGATACATCTGACAGATGACAGAGCATCCATACAGAGACGTATGTACTATCGACAAAAAGTTCATGTTGAAAAAATGGATACTCGATAGATGCGGCTTCTTCCCAAGTCCTAATCTTCAAGCCATATAACACTGGAAAAAAGTTAAAAATACTCAGCAACTTTAAAAATTCATGGTAGCAAACAGTAATAAATAGCTGCTTTTAGAAGCACCCTACTGAATCCAATTCAAAGTAGAGTTTTATTAAATCATTAAGTAGGCGAAAAACACACTTAAACGCAAACGTATATTAAGTAAAGCTGATACTCCTTTCAACAGTTTTTTCCATTTTATCCTCGGATGAACTGCATTACTATTCAATATAATCATCAGCTAACAAACCAAGAACAAACTTTTTATTTCTTTTTAAGATCTATCAGCCGCAGAATGTATACTGAAATTATTACAAAATTTTTTTTT